ATCGTTTAAACATCCGCCAGACAAAACGCCAGCCCCCCCCCCCCCCCACACACACACACACGTCATATCTTAGCATAACATTCCTTATAATATTTTCTGAGATTGGTCAAAATTGAGTTTATTAATTTCTATTACAATTTACAAAGCGATCTTTCAGAAACGCGAAAAAAAAGTTTACAATACAATTACTAATATTTCATTTTAAAAATGCAAAATTGTATTGTCGCACATGCTGACCCCTCCCCCTCCCCTCCACCCTCTTTCAGTCGTCATACACCTCCTCTAAAGTCTGAACCTCTCATAATTCTACAGGGGGGGGGGGCGCTTGCCAATTCCTGAAATAACCGTCGAACCCTCCTCCCCTCCCAAGATCAGTGTTTCTTCCAGACTTTTTTCTCCGGGGGGGGGGGGGCACTTGATGTTTTTTTTTTGGGGGGGGGGGGGGCGGACACTGGTAAAAGTATATATTATCTATATAAATTCCATTTCGTTCGGGGGGCGAAGAGATGCCTGGAAGAATATCTGCCAAGATATGTGTATCTATGCAGTTATGTAACACATCTGTGATCATAACCGTTGAACCCTCCTCTCGCCCCCCCCCCCCCCTCCCAAGATATGTGTATCTATGCAGTTATGTAACACATCTGTGATCATCCGTGACGAGGCACTGAGGCGTAGCATCCCTTTTCTGCACGATAACCCTTCAGCTTCAGACTTTGGTCTTAGTAAAAAAAAAAAAAAGGCCTGTTACATCCTAACACTCTAAGCACAGTATTATTCTATTGTGGTTATTCTGCTGCTAGTGTAAGCGTAGGAGTTAAAACTTTAGGTGTAGGGTCAAGATTGAGGTGTTAGTCACGATCTTATGTCAGGTTTTCATTAGGCTGAAAACGAAACGAGAAAAAATAAATACCCAGAAAGTATTGAATAAGGCCGGACTAGATTTTTATAAGCACCGGCTTTTCCCGATTCACTTTCTTAAGCCTGTATGTGGTATAGACTGCATTAATCAGTGTAGTAAAAGTTGAAAGGAGGGGGGGGGGGGTGTAAATAGTTATTGAGTGTGGGGTGTGAATTTTTAAAAAAATGCGATTTGATGAAAGAATGAGCTTTAAACATCGACCAAATAAACATGACTTTATAGACTTACTTTATGGGCTACAGATATTATAAGTTACGAGCCGACCCGCAGCGTATCATACGCCGCTATTTAGTTGTTTTATTTTCTACTTTTCAGTAATTCATAAATTATTGAATTCGACACTACCAGTGCTGCGACTAAAATATTTGTTTTAAAACACTATCAGTAGCTCATGAAGGACGATACCCCCCCCCCATCCTCTCCCCCCCCCCACCCTCGTGAAAGCAACCTCCTCTTTGTTACCTCCCCTAAGTTTCAAATCGTTTTAAAAAACTAAATTATCTACCCCTAATAGCCGTCACTAATTCCACCGGCTCTACTATTGTAAACATTTGTCGTGAACCACAGCTCACCAGACAGCGGCGGGGGTGGGTGGGGGGGGTTAAAAGTGGTAGCTATGTCTAGAGAGCGAGGTAGGAACGGCTAAGCCTTACGTGGTGGTGTCTCGCATGGTCCCCCACGTAGAGAATTATATATTTAGAAGATTACATTTCTGTTTCTGGTCCGCTACATCTACTCAATAATGTGAATTTTGACAGAATAGAGCGAATTGTGACTAAATAATGTGACTTGTGACAGAATAATGTGAAATGTGACAGAATAATGTGAATTGTGACAGAATAGTGTGAATTATTGTGACTAAATAATGTGAATTGTGACAGAATAATGTGAATTGTGACTAAATAAACTGATATCAATCTTGTTACCTGGCCAGGTTTCGTGTGGTTGGTGCTGGCAACCTTTACCCCTACAGGGTGTCTGTCGACCAGCATCCGATGACGGTGGTATCCACAGATGGGTAAGTCATTTAGTTGTATCCAGTGATTGATAGGTCATAGGGTTGTATCCACCAATGGATAAGTCATACGGTGGTATCCACGGATGGGTGAGTCATACGGTTGTATCCACGGATGGGTAAGTCATACGGTTGTATCCACGGATGGGTAAGTCATACGGTTGTATCCATGGATGGGTTAGTCGTATAGTTGTATCCACGGATGGGTAAGTCATTTAGTTGTATCCACGGATGGGTAAGTCATGTAGTTGTATCCACAGATGGGTATGTAATACGGTTGTATCCACGGATGGGTAAGTCATACGGTTGTATCCACGGATGGGTAAGTCATACGGTTGTATCCACGGATGGGTAAGTCATATAGTTGTATCCACGGATGGGTAAGTCTTACGGTTGTATCCACGGATGGGTAAGTCATACGGTTGTATCCACGGATGGGTAAGTCATATGGTTGTATCCACGGATGGATAAGTCATACGGTTGTATCCACGGATGGGTAAGTCATACGGTTGTATCCACGGATGGGTAAGTCATATAGTTGTATCCACAGATGGGTAAGTCATACAGGTGTATCCGCTGACGGATAAGTCATACGGTTGTATCCATGGATGGTTAGTCATATAGCTGTATCCACGGATGGGTAAGTCATACAGGTGTATCCGCTGACGGACAAGTCATACGGTTGTATCCACGGATGGTAAGTCATATAGTTGTATCCACGGATGGGTAAGTCATATAGTTGTATCCACGGATGGGTAAGTCATATAGTTGTATCCACGGATGGGTAAGTCATATAGCTGTATCCAGTGATTGATAGGTCATAGGGTTGTATCCACGGATGGGTAAGTCATATAGTTGTATCCACGGATGGGTAAGTCATATAGCTGTATCCAGTGATTGATAGGTCATAGGGTTGTATCCACGGATGGGTAAGTCATATAGTTGTATCCACGGATGGGTAAGTCATATAGCTGTATCCACGGATGGGTAAGTCATATAGTTGTATCCACGGATGGGTAAGTCATATAGTTGTATCCACGGATGGGTAAGTCATATAGTTGTATCCACGGATGGGTAAGTCATACGGTTGTATCCACGGATGGGTAAGTCATACGGTTGTATCCACGGATGGGTAAGTCATATGGTTGTATCCACGGATGGATAAGTCATACGGTTGTATCCACGGATGGGTAAGTCATACGGTTGTATCCACGGATGGGTAAGTCATATAGTTGTATCCACGGATGGGTAAGTCATATAGTTGTATCCATGGATGGGGTAAGTCGTATAGTTGTATCCACGGATGGGTAAGTCAAAATAGTTGTATCCACGGATGGAATAAGTCATACGGTTGTATCCACGGATGGGTAAGTCCATACGGTTGTATCCACGGATGGGTAAGTCATATAGTTGTATCCACGGATGGGTAAGTCATATAGTTGTATCCACGGGATGGGTAAGTCATATAGTTGTATCCACGGATGTGTAAGTCATACGGTTGTATCAACGGATGTGTAAGTCATACGGTTGTATCCACGGATGGGTAAGTCATACGGTTGTATCCACGGATGGGTATGTCATACACGTGTATCCACTGACGGATAAGTCATACGGCTGTATCCACCAATGGATAAGTCATACACTCACGCTATATTAATTTTCTTACTTCAATTAAGTCCAAGCAACCTGAGTCTTCTATTCGGTTAGAGGGGGGGGGAGTAAAGCTAATATTTTATCTAAAAAGCGGGAGTTAGCTCCCCTAAAAACTTTCTCGTACATGCGTGTATGCAACAGTAGGGTTGGACTGGCTCTTCCAGTGGAATCGGTTTGTAGTTCTTATTACTCTTCGAATATTTTCCACCCAAAAAAAAATGTAGACTATGTTTGTTCCAGAAACGAGTTCGAGGCAGTTCCTGTAGAGTCTTTCATCATCAACCCTGGGGAGCGATACGATTTTGTCGTCACAGCCAATCAGAGTGTCGAAAATTATTGGATAAGGGCGGAAACTCTGGAGGTGAACGTGCAGAACCACGTGGCCGAAGCTATTCTTAGATACAACGGCGCGCCGGTCGCTGAGCCAAAAACCGTGAGGAAACGGTGCTCGCAGGACGACAGGTTCGTTTTTAAGAGTTTCTTTCAGGCATCTCTTCCAGAGTTTCCTCCAGGCATCTCTTCGGGGGCGGTGCCCACCCCCCCCCCCCCCGCAAAGAAAGTCTACCGCCTCCCCGAACGAAATGGAATTTATATAGAAAATACATACTTTTGACAGTGTCCGCCCCCCCCCCCCCCCCACCCCCGAAAATTGTTGTCCGCCCCCCCCCCCCCGAAAATTTCAAGTGCACCCCCGGAGAAAAAAGTCTGGAAGAAACACTGATCTCTTCGGAGCCCCCCCCCCTCCTTTCTTCTCCCCCCCCCCCCCCCCCCCCCGAAGAGCGGCTAGGTTACAATTGCCATTGTGTAACAATTCTTGTCTGCTATCAATAAATAAATCTTCACCGCCCATATCCCATAAATCTTCACCAAATGTCTTAAACTGTGCGTATCCTTGTCTAAAACCAGATGCCTTGTCTTAAACTGCCCATTTCCTAAACCATAACCAGATATCTCAAACTGACCATATTCCTAAATCATCACCAAATGTCCTTAAACTGCCCTTATTCCTAAATCTTCACCAGATGTCTAGTCTTAAACTGCCCATATTCCTAAAACTTCACCAGATGTCTAGTCTTAAACTGGCCATATTCCTACTTTTTCACCAGATGTCTAGTCTTAAACTGCCCATATTCCTAAATCATCACCAAATGTCTTAAACTGCCCATATTCCTAAATCTTCACCAGATGTCTTAAACTGCCCATATTCCTAAATCATCACCAAATGTCTTAACTGCCCATATTCCTAAATCTTCACCAGATGTCTAGTCTTAAACTGCCCATATTCCTAAAACTTCACCAGATGTCTAGTCTTAAACTGCCCCTACACTACTACCCCGCTGAAACCTATACAGACTGCAAGCCTTTAAGCGAGGTCAATGCCCTACAGGACATTGACAACGATATCCGGGCATCTTCTGAAGACGTCGAGGAAATTTTTCTCAACTTCGCTTTTCCTGGAAACTACATGGACGCCTGGCTCGGTGAATGGACGACATTTTAAAGTAAAGAGATATTTAATTATAGCTTCTTTAACATTTTTGTTTACTGGTCTACAATATTTATGTAGCCAGAAAAAAATGTTAGTTTTCGAGCCAAATCTTTATTCAACAATTTGTTTGGACTTGTTGAAGTCAACTTTCAAACCTTTGTAAATAAATAAAAATGGTAACTGAAATGAGTTTTTATACAAATAGTAATTTTACGGGTAGGGTTAGTATTATCACTAATTAAAGACAATTATATGTATGATGAACTTCTCAACCCAAGCTCTTCGTCAGTGTATCAGTGTGGGCAAAGACTTGACAAACATTTCTAAGTACTTTTCGGGTTGTGTTAAGCTGATATTATGAGCGATGTTCTAAAATGTGATCTTAACCTGAGTTCGATCAAACCCCAGAGGTTCGGTGAGTCAGTTTCAATAGTTCGGCGGAGGTCATATCCGTCTCATATGATTCTCGATCGAATTTTTGTCAGTGCCGACGATAGAGCTATTTAAAAAACGGTTCAGTGAATGCGCATATGGAACTCATGAGGTTTGGTACCTTCAAAATGATTAAGTATAACTGCTATAAAATAAAGAAAACGTCATTATTAAGTTGAACGCGAATGTATATTCATCTTTTATAGCGCTGGTACGAATGAACCCAATACTCTGATTAGATGCTTCTGCCTTGTTCCTGAAAAGCATCACAATTCATGTTAATTATATTTTAATGGATTTTTTTTTTCAAAAAGTTGGAAGGGTTTCTGAGTGCTATCATACTGGGCGTGACCATTTTTTTAAAAATCCCCTGTGCCATTCCTAGTTTCTATTGCATTCATGAACAACGAGGCGATTGCCCGAATCGGGGAAAACTCACCATCCTATTCCCCAGTATGCGTATAGCTTGCTGTTTTCTAAATGCCGTCCGTGTCAACTCTAACCCTACCCCCATGACAACCCCTAACCCTACCCCATGACAACCCTACCCCGTTACAAACCTACCCGTGACAACCATAACCCTACCACATGACAACCCTACCCCAGACAACCCTTACCCTACCCCGTGACAACCCTCCCCCTACCCCATAACAACCCTAACCCTAACCCTACCCCAATGACAACCTTACCCCATGACAATCCTAACCCATGACAACCCTACCCAAATGACAACTGACCCCATGACAACCCTAACCCTACCCCAGACAACCCAAAACCCTACCACCCCATAACAACCCTACCCCATATCAACCCTACCCCTACCCAATGACAACCTTATCCATGACAACTGACCCCAGACAACCCAAACCTTACCACCCCATAACAACCCTACCCCATAACAACCCTAACCCTAACCCTACCCATGTTTTTCTAGATGCCTCCCATGACAACCCTAACCCTACCCCATAACAACCATACCCCATGACAACCCTACCCCATGACAACCCTAACCCATGACAACCCTACCCCAGACAACCCTTACCCTACCCCGTGACAACCCTCCCCCTACCCCATAACAACCCTAACCCTACCCCATGACAACCTTACCCATGACAATCCTAACCCATGACAACCCTACCCAAATGACAACTGACCCCATGACAACCCTAACCCTACCCCATAACAACCCTACCCCATGACAACCCTACCCCATGACAACCCTACCCCATGACAACCCTACCCCATAACAACCCTAACCCTACCATGTTTATCTAGATGCCGCCCGTGTCAGCCCTCACCCAGCCCACACAAATCAACACACAATGTGACCTACAAGACTGCGGAGAAGACAAGTTGTGTGAGTGCACCCACACAATCGACCTACACGTACGTTGCCACTTTTATCAAAACTAATCTATCAAAGGAGTTTTTAAAAACCACATTAATTCACGATCAAAACACAAGGTTCAATGAGAAACACATTTCAACAATCCACACATCCTGGAATGTAAGAGGTTACCAAGAGGATTACCACATAAGTGTGGACATAGTTGCACTGGCAAGTGTAAGCAGTATACACTGGTACAAACAGGATATACTTACATAGTGTCATTGTCTATGATAGTATTTGCTGTTATTAGTTGTGTATGTATTTCTGTTGTTTTATACAACTCAAACTGGATAAAACAATCTAGCACACCCAGCGCATATATATATAATATATATATTATATATATATATATATATATATATATATATATATATATATATATATATATGCATGCCTATATCCCTATATCCTTACATTCTATTTTCAGCATAATAAAGTTTACCAGATGGTATTTTTAGATCTGGGTACAGGAAAAGGCTGGGCTCATCCTATTCATTTGCACGGCCATGATTTTTATATTGTCAAAATGGGTTACCCTATCTATAATCAAACAACGGGTAAGACCACTTGTGTTTGTTTGTTGTGAAAAAGCCTGGAATTGTGAACTTAAAATACCTGCTGGGTTAGTTTGTTGAATGGTAGAGCTCACAGTCTTGATCAGTGTTTCTTCCAGATTTTTTTCTGCATAGGGGTGGGGGGGGGGGGGCAATTGAGAATTCGGGGGGGGGGAGGACACCGGTAAAAGTATTAATTTTCTATATAAGTTTCCGTTTCGTTCGGGGGGGGGGGGGGTGAGGTGGACTTTCTTTGGTGGGGGGGGGGGGGGGGTCCGAAGAGATGCCTGGAAGAAACACTGGTCTTGACGGCGGGTGAGTGGAGTTGAAAGTAACTCGGTGCTTGGAATAGTTTTGGGGAATTTCTCTGCGAATGTAACCTTCTGCGCCAAAGTGTTCCTACACTTAACAATAAATACATACTGAAATAATAACATACAGAGGTGAAAATTCAAATTCTTGCGTGTGGGCGGGGGTGTTTTGGTGAGTCATAGATGCAGTGATTCTTCCAAGGATCTCTCCTGGGGTGGGGGGGGGGGTGTTCAGACGAAATTGAAAAGAGTAAAATTTAAATAGAAATTACGGACCACATTTCTCGGAGTCCCCCCCCCCCGAAGAAAATCTACCACCCCCCACCCCCAGAACGAAAAGGAATTTATAAAAATTTAGAAAAACATCTACTTTTACTAGTGCTCGCCCCCCCCCCCCCCCGAAAATGTTGTCCGCCCCCCACCCGAAAATATCAAGTGCCCCCCCCCCCCACCCCCCCCCCCCGGAGAAAAAAATTCTGGAAAAAAACACTGCCTTTAAGGGGGTGGGCTCATGTAATAGAAAAAAATACTAATACTTTTAATACTAGACAGGAAACATGTATTTCTTTACAGCTTTTATTGGGTACATTAGCCTGTGTTTCCATTAAAAACTTATGGGTGGGGAAATTTGGTAACCATGACATCAGCGCCGTCTTGAAAAATTAACATATTCGTAGGATATCCAGAGTTCAGAGTTTTACATTTGAAGCCCCTTAAAGTATGAATTCATAATTAATATAGTTTTAAGTATTGTTATAATTTTTAACTGCAGATCTTCAAATCAACTAATTGTGAATTTTCAAATTTTTGGGTCTGGTAAAAAAACAAAATTGTAGAACACAAGTTTTAGTTGTTTGTTTTCTTTTTACCGGAACAAAAATTTAGAAAATAATTTACATTTTGTAGGTAAACTAATGGGAGATAACCCCGACATTGACTGTGGTAAAAACAAACCGAGTTATTGCAACGCCGCGAGATGGGCCAACAGCTCATGGGGAGGTAACAACGTCCCGGAGCTGAAGTTGGATCGTCCTATAATGAAAGACACAGTTATCGTTCCTACCGGCGGGTTCGTTTTGTAAATACTATTTGGTTTAGATATTACAAATAATAAACTTCTTTTTTTAAAAAAATACCTACCAAAGTTTGACAACTGTGTGTGTACAAAAGTTGAGTAACTATCCTTAAACTATCCCTAGACTTTGTTTTTTTTAAAAAATGTAACATAGTTCCCATGCATCCATTTACCAGGTACGTTGTTGTACGGATAAGGGCCGACAACCCAGGACTTTGGGATCATGCACTGTCACATCGAGCTCCACAACACAGACGGTATGGCCGTTCTGTTCAACGAATCTTTCTCCAAGCACCCACAGCCGCCACCAGGCTTCCCTACCTGCGGGGACTTCACACTGGACAAGACATCTGGCTCAGAGAGCCAAGGTATTGGACACTCACCTTCAATCTTAAGCCTTGGGTTGGTTCCTATCCTGATGTTATCCTTTCGTACCCAACAACCGAGTGTGAGAGACGTTGAGGCGCCACTGTTGCCTCCTTCACAATACCATGTCATATGTCCCGGTCCTCTGCTGTCTATAGTGAGTCTGTAAAGGAAGTATTGTCCAGGTGCTTGATGACCTAGCGGTAGAGAGCTAGATTGCTAACCCGAAAGTCTCGAGTTCGAATCCGAGTTCAAATCGGTAGATTGTCCCTGAGTCCACCCAGCTCCGATGGGTACCTAACACGTTAGGTGTGTCTTGGGCATGACCGGGAAAAGGTGATGAGTCATTGATGTCATCCAGCCATCTCTTGTGTCTACCTCACCCCCCCCCTCAATCAGGACCGTCCCTAGCAGTATTGCCTTCCTACACATACATTAACGAACCCGGTGTGTTGTTTATCATAGCGCTGGCATAGCAACTATGACATCACGTGCACTCCGTACCTGTTCAATGTGGAAGGCTGATATGAAATAAAAATTTGTTTTTGTGTGTGCAGTGGCATAGGCAGTGTGTGTGTGTGGTGTGAGAGAGAGAGAGAGAGAGAGAGAGAGAGAGAGAGAGAGAGAGAGAGAGAGAGAGAGAGAGTATGTGTGTTGTAGCGCCTCACCCCTTTTTTCACATTAATTCTCCACAATTACAAAGGACACTATGTAATGAATCTATTGACAACATACGCTCATGTCGACTTAGATGCTTACAATTTCAAACATTTTAACAAACTTTATTTGTATTTTCAGACTTAAAGCCCACGATCATTGGACTTACAATATTACTTGCTGTTGCGATTCTATTCATCGTTTTATTATTGATCTGTTTGGTGAACATATGGCGACAAAAGAAAGCCCTACAAAATCCAGATGGCGAAATGTCTTCTTTAACCATGACCTAACATCAGATTTTCTTAAAAACTATATTTATATATTCAATTCAATCAACTTACAAATACAACGCAAATTTTTACAAAGCTGTGTTTAAATTTTAAAGACGGTATGGATATCTTACGTATTGAGGTATTCTTTCCAGACCTGACGACCAATGGGGCAGATGAAGTAGAGCCCATCTGAGTTTTTTTTTTAAACTCAATGTATGAAGTTTTTGTGATAATCTTTACTTTTCTCGATTCGCGTCAGGTAACCTTCACATTGGTGTGACCTCAGGGAAATCTTACCAAGTCGAGTCTGAAAACATAAACCCACGACTTTTGAATATGCTACTGTGTGCTCTATTGCCACGCCCCACCGTTCTATCCGTCACAGTGTAATGACCTACACATTACATTTAAATATTGAATCTTCTCCCCCCCTCCAACAAAAAAGATTGTTATCCCCCCCCCCACATACACACACATGTGACCTACACATTAAATTTAAAGATTAAATCTACACCCCCTCCCTCTCCAAAAAAAATGTTAACCCCCCCCCCAACCGTTATATCTTTCACAATATAGTGACCTACATATTACATCTAAATATTAAATCTACCCACCCCCATCAAAAAAGTTTACCCCCCCACCACACACACACCTCACAGTATAGTGACCTACACATTAAATTTAAGTATTAAATCTACCCCCCCCCCCCTCCTCCAACAAATAACCCCCCCCCCGCCATCATTCCCCTCCCTAGCACCCAGAGGCTTAGCGACCCTTCCCGGCGCCCGGGGACAAACTTTCGATTTGCACCCCCCCTCGAACTTTTCATTTGCACCCCCCTCATACTTTCGATTTGCACCCCCCTCAACCTTTCAATTTGGCGCCCCCCCCCCCCTAAGGTCGTCGCCCGGGGACATATGTCCCCCCCCCCCCGCCCCACACCCCCCTCGCAACGCCTCTGCTAGCACCCCTTTATGCTTCGCCTTTCAGATCAGTCTACTTAACTAATTAATTTTTTATTCTTATTTCCAATGCTCTTATTTTTCTCCGAACCTAGAAGCTAGTTATATTCTAGACATTTACTTCAATCAAAATACCTGTTTATGGGTTTATAGGGGTCATGCATAAATGACGTCACACTAATTAATTTTTTATTCTTATTTCCAATGCTCTTATTTTTCTCCGAACCTAGAAGTTAGTTATATTCTAGACATTTACTTCAATCAAAATACCTGTTTATGGGTTTATAGGGGTCATGCATAAATGACGTCACACTCGTAGGGGGGAGGGGGGGGGGGTTTCGTAATTTTGTGACGATGTGTGATGAGGGGAGGGGGGGGGGGGGGGTTCAGATGTTGCGACGTCACACTTTTGCATTATAAAAAAAGGAATGTTAGGAAACAAATTTTAGACGTTATTTCGCGTTTTAGATAACCGTTTTAATAAATTGTAATAGTTTAGACAAGATTTTAGAAAAATATCGATGTTTAAAAAAAATTCAACTGCAATTTTGAGGGGGTTGTAGGTTGAGGTGTGACGTCATTTTAGGGGGGGGTCTGGCTTTTTGTGACGACGTGTGACGGAGGGGAGGGGGGGGGGGGGGTAAAAATCGTCAAAAAAAGCGTGACGTCATTTATGGATGACCCCAAAGCCAAATCATTAACTTAATTTTGTCGCACTGCTAATGCATACGTTAATAAATTAACTAGTTATTGATTAGTTACTATAAAAACTTACTTCAAGATTAGGCTAGTATATTCAATAAAAATTGGGAGATAACTGGATTAAATATTAAGGATTCTTTCGATCACTCGATGAGAAGGAGACAAGTGAACTGTGGCCAGTGGCGTAGGCAGAAGGGGGGGGGTTAGGGGGGGGCATAACCCCCCTCCCATAGATCCCTCGGTATATATATAAAGTATGAGGGGGGGAGCAAATCGAAAGTTTGAGGGGGGTGCAAATCAAAAGTCTGAGGGGGGGAAGGGGGGGGGGTGCAAATTGAAAGCTTGTCCCCGGGTAAAAATTTGAACCCCCCCCCCCCTTGAGACGATCCTGGCTACGCCACTGACTGTGGCTCAATGACTTAGAGCCGGTCACGGATATAAATGTTACAATAAATAAGGGACAGAATAATTAATGATCGTCTAAATTTACTGATCGGGGTTTTAAGCAAATATTTTCAACGAGCCGACCCGCGGCGTATCATACGCTGCTATTTAGTTGTTTTATTTTCTACTTTGGGGTCATCCATAAATGACGTCACACTCGTAGGTGCTCGGGGGGGGGGGGGGTCCGTAATTTTGTGACGATGTGTGATGAGGGGGAGGGGGGTTCCGATGTTGCGAAGTCACATTTTTGCATTATAAAAAAGCAATGTTAGAAAACGAATTTTAGACGTTATTTCGCGTTTTAGATAACTGTTTTAATAAATTGTAATAGTTTAGACAGAGATTTTGGAAATAAAATCGATGTTTTAAAAACATTCAACTGCAATTTTGAGGGGATTTATAGGTTGAGGTGTGACGTCATTTTAGGGGGGGGGGGGTCTGGCTTTTTTTGTAACGACGTGTGACGGAGGGGAGGGGGGGGGGGGGTAAAAATCGTCAAAAAAAGCGTGACGTCATTTATGGATGACCCCAAAGCCAAATCATTAACTTAATTTTGTCGCACTGCTAATGCATACGTTAATAAATTACCTAGTTATTGATTAGTTACTATAAAAACTTACTTCAAGATTAGGCTAGTATATTCAATAAAAATTGGGAGATAACTGGATTAAATATTAAGGATTCTTTCGATGATTCGATGAGCCAGGTGACAAGTGAACTGTGGCCAGTGGCGTAGGCAGGGGGGGAGTCATAACCCCCCCCCCCATAGACCCCTCGGTATATATATAAAGTATGAGGGGGGTGCAAATCGAAAGTTTGAGGGGGGGGGTGCAAATCGAAAGTTTGAGAGGGGGGGGTGCAAATCGAAAGTTTGAGGGGGGTGCAAATCAAAAGTCTGAGGGGAGGGGTGCAAATCGAAAGCTTGTCCCCGGGTAAAAATTGGAACCCCCCCCCCCTTGAGACGATCCTGGCTACGCCACTGACTGTGGCTCAATGACTTAGAGCCGGTCACGGATATAAATGATACAATAAATAAGGGACAGGATAAAGATCGTCTAAATTTACTGATCGGGATTTTAAGCAAATATTTTCAATGAGCCGACGCTATTTAGTTGTTGTTTTTTTCTACTTTTCAATAATGCATAATTTGTGAATTCGACAGTACTAATGCTGCCACTGAAAATATTTGCTTTAAAACACTAAAACCTTCCTTTCCCCACCCCCTCCTCGTGAAAGCAGCCTCCTCTTAGTTACCTCCCCTAAGTTTAAAATCGTTTCAGACTAAATTATCTGCCCCTAATAGCCGTCACTAAACCGGTCTATACGCTTGTAAACAGCGTGAACCACAGCTCACCAGACCATGTGGGTATGGGGGGGGGGGGTAATAGAGAGGAAGAGAGGGGACTGCTAGGCGCGCTTACAGCTTGTTTTCTAGCGTCTCCCAGAAGAGAATTAAGTATATACGAGCCGACCCGCGGCGTATCATACGCCGCTATTTTGTTGTTTTATTTTCTACTTTTCAGTAATTCATAATTTGTGAATTCGACAGTACCAATGCTGCCACTGAAAATATTTGCTTTAAAAGACTAACCCCCCCTTTCCCCAACACCTACCATACACCCCCCTCCCCCCGTGAAAGCAGCCTCCTCTTAGTTACCTCCTGTAAGTTTAAAATCGTTTCAAACTAAATTATCTGCCCCTAGTAGCCGTCACTAAACCCGGCTCTACGATTTGTAAACATTTAGCGTGAACCACAGCTCACCAGACCATGTGGGGGTGGGGTGGGGGTGGTAGTGATAGAGAGGAAGAGAGGGGACTGCAAGGCGCGCTTGCAGCTTGTTTTCTATTGTCTCCCAGAAGAGAATTATATATATAGATAGATAGTCTGGGGTGTCGACTTAGAAAGGAAGAAACTCTGAATAAAAAATAAATAATTGTTCTAATTTTAGTGAAGCTACAACACAACTTATCCTTATTTCTTACATATGTACGAATATTTTTTTTAAAAAATAGATAAACATTTACAAAAAATAGCTTTTTATAAACACTAACAAAATTAGCGTGCATTTTCTTTAGTTAAAATTGTATTTGCAAGCAACAAAAATAAAAGCAATAAAAACATGAAAGCTTTGTATAAGTAATGGTGTCTCGTGTTATGTTTATTTTTATTTATATTTATATATATTTATATTATGAATATTAAATACGTTTCCTTTTTATACAATGTCATTCTTTAGTAAGTAGTAAAAAAAGTAACAATTAAGAGAAGTAATTGCTTTTTAATGTGTTTATTAAAAATCTATTAAATGGAGCTTATGGGCACCCTATTTGACTATTTAAAAAAGGGAAATAAGTCATGGAAGTGGTTTGAACGTTTGCTTATCTTTGATAAGTGTGTAGGAGAAAGAGGACTCGGCTTTCACAGTGGTTTAAAAACAAAGGGAAAAAGAATATACAAGAGCGTGGGGTGGTGTCTATAGAATAAAGATAATCCAACCGCAGCTATGGCGATCTTTTTACGAAACACCCATCAAGTCAAAAATGCAAGAATTTTTTTTTTTTAAACTATAAAATTTTTTATTATGGTCGGCTGTGGGCCCCTAAATGGCGTTGCCCCCCCCCCCCCCCCCCACGGTGGCACTGTAGTCAGTGTTTCTTCCAGACTTTTTTCTCCGGGGAGGGGCACTCGAAATTTTCGGGGGGGGGGGGGGGAGGGGGCGGTAGACTTTCTTGGGGGGGGGGCGGACACTGTTAAAAGTATATATTCGTTCGGGGGGGGGGGGGGGGGAGGGGCGGTAAAAAAAATTCGGGGGGGGGGGGGAAGAAACTCTGACTGTAGTTCCGCCCCTGATTAGAGTTTCCCTTTTTCTATGACCACGGAATATGAAGGGATAGTGTGGTCAGCTCCATATCCAGTTGCATTTACTTTCCCTAACATTTGTCAGGTCCCATTCATGGCTGGGCGCACTCACTGTTGCACGAAACAGGCGCTATTGTATTATACAGTTCGGCCACGCAGTCCAATACAATACAATTTTAGCACAAATTATAATTATTTTTTTGTAATTTTTTAAAAATTCAATATATATCTAATTTATAAATTAAAAATGATACATTATATTTTTACCACTACACTTACCCTTCTCAAATGTGCACTTAATCTTAAAGATGTTATCATTTATAATCTTCTACATTTTAATTTTTAAACGAAGCAGTTTCTGTTGCCATGGACAATAATATTTTGTTATAAATTTATAAACAACCGGAAATAATTTTTCATGATTTTACTTCCTGTTATTGTTTATAGATTCCTGCTGATTATTA